GAGTGGGTGACAGTTGTGGAGCGGATCATGGAAGGTGCGCCTACCACATCTGGTAGGCGTGGAAGTGTCGCCACTAGAATAACCGATGCTGCGAACAAGATTGAAGAGGGTGCCATCTGACGCCCTTGCGAAAACTTGAACAGTACCGAAGAAACAAAGTACTGGAGACGTTGCTAACTGTCACTTTTACTGCGATGACGCATATCCGACCAAAGCAAAAGAAATCCAGTAGTGTCCAGAAGTCAAGCCAAGCACAAGGCGGGCGCAAGATTCGCATCAGCTGACTTTTGGGCAATTTCAAGTCGAGCGCTTGCCTGAAAAGAATGCAACCTGCTTCCATAATGCATGCAGTTTTCTGGAGGAGCTGCCTTGCCTGAATGGCTAGCTCTGCCGCGCACCCAGAAGGTAGCGCTGCACCAAGTCTACAGCTATCCGAGTTCTCTGTTTGAGCCGAAGGCTGGAAATTTGGAGCCTTCAACAGTAGCCTGCTAATACAATAGAGGAGAATGTAATGTAAACAATATCCGCAGTCGTGACTTACATACATTAGAAAGAGTGGTCTTCTAATCTCGTACTGTCTTTCATACTCGCCCATTCCATTAATACATAAAGGAATGAATGAACAAATGAAACATTTGAAATCAGAGGAGGAGGTCATTTCAGTTGAACAAAAAGTCCATGCAACGCGAGAAAGAACTCGCTGTTACTATCAAAAGACAACGACTTGATACGTTCGCCAGGGCTACGATGGAAAAAGAGTGTATGCATGCAGCCAAATCGAATGAAATTCTTTAGGAATCATTAAAAGCTCAAGTTCTACTAAATTCTAAAGCCATTTCAATCGATTGCTCCCGACTAATCAAAAGAGGAAAGCAGGATGCCTCTTGTGTATTGCCAGTATAGATATTACCGTCATCACCACTGCCAATGTAGCTCTACTTCTTCATGTGGTACTTGGTCCAGTACTCCGAGCCAGCACGAGTTTCAGCAGATTGGGAAGTAAAGGCCCACAAGTAAACTCCACTCATGACGCTGTGTTAAGAAAAGAAGAAGTAAGGAGTATCGTTAGAGCGTAGTTGAAAATGATGGAGCGATATGAATCCAATCGCGTATCAATGAGGATCCAAATGAGAAATCTTGGATGTTTTTATGTTCATTGCAAATCTTCCATTGGCATTCAATCAACATG